GATCTGTTATGTTAGCTCAGATCTCCTTCATGGTGATGTTATGATGCACTAATGCTCCAAGCCATCTTTTTTCTTAGATATTCTCTGATCTCCTCTGATCCTAGAGGTTTACCTTAAATGAAAGCATCAGGAGAGAGGATCCCAACTGCAGTGACAGTAACCAAGTCAGTATTCTAATTACTCAACCTCTCTCAACTGAGTTTTTACTTTATATCAGGCCTTGCTCCAATCCAATTTTTATCACCTTATTGGTATGGCCCAGGAGAATAGAAGTGGACATCTTTGAGCACAGGCTAACAATTCACATATGAACCAGGCAAATCACATTTAGCAAATGCACTATTTCTTTCAGGAATGGCACTGACACAAACTTGCAAACAGCATGGCAAGTACAAGGCATACAAATATCACTGGTGCTAAAAATCAAGGCAGAAAACAGCATCTATTTTGAATGATTTCAGCTGGTTGCATAAGCTTTGAGCAAATTTCTAGCCTTGTACAGCCCTGGAGTCATCACACCATTCTGTCCTACAGTCCTGATGGAGAATATGAACACAGAAACTGCTGCTGTGATCAGGCTCTGAGTTAACACAGTGCAGGATGAATTACTGCCTCTGTTAGATTTCAGTGTTTGCAACAAAAGCACACAGTGGCTGTACCTTGTACTCGGTGGGGAAAGAAATATACTACTAGACTTAGCAGGTTTTATCCCTGTGAGTTTCAGTGTTACAAACTTTGACTTCAGTGGTTAAAGCAATTTTCTGCAGGTGTAGCATGCAGAAGCAATGAACTGCAAGGTAAGAGGTGAAGGTCGCATCCTGATTAGGATGGAGCTAATTTTTATCACAGCAGTTTGTATGGTGCTGCATTTTGGATCTGTTACAAAAACAATGCTGATAATACAACGTTTTAGCTTGTGCTAAAGAATGTTTGCAGTGTCAAGTCTTTCTCTCCCTCAAGTAAATAGATTTCAGAGGGCTGGGAAGGGATACAGGGCAGACAACATGAACTAACCAAAGAGATATTTCATACCACATAACACCATGCTTAGTAACAAAAAGGAAGAGGAGGGACTTTCAGGCAGTTAATCTTCTGCTTGGGAGCATACCAGGCATGTCCATCCACAGTAAGTGGTGAGTGATTTGTTTTCTCTCTTCTTTTACTTCTTATTTAATAATTTTTATTTCAACTTTGATCTCAAGTTCTACTCATTTTTACTCTTCCTCTGTCCCACCAAGGGTGGTGGTGGTGGACAAGTGTAGGAGAACTTGTTTGGTGTTTAGCTGCCTGCTGAGGTTAACCCGCAATAAGCACATTGACTGTCTTGGCCAGTGGCACCTGCACAAACTCACAGGTGACACCATAGCTGGAAAGCCATACTCCAGAGCCTGACTTGGCCTGGCCTGGCTGCTGGGGAGGATGGGAAAGACAGGGGAAGCTTGTGTGCCTCTCTCACCATTACCTCGTGTGCTACATGTGACCAACCTGGAGAGGCTATGCTAAGGGAAAACATTACCTGCTTGGCTTACTCACTTCCAGCAGGGCTATTTTCCTCTTGGCACGCAAATATCCATAAGGATATGTCCAGAGAGGTTGTGTAGTCTCCCTCTTCGGAATATTCAGACACCACCTGGCCACAGTCCTGGGCAGACAGCTCTATTTGTCCCTGCTTTGAGGTTGGATCAAACAACTCCCAGAGGTCCCCAACAACCTTGGCTGTTCTGTGATACCAGGATTCTATGAAAACAAACCTAGATTTGCTGTCATTGCAGGTCTACCTCTTAGCAAATCCCAGATTTCCTTATAGCTGATGGATGATGATAGGCCAGGGCCAATTTGGGCCATGGATGTGCCCAGCTCAGGGAGTGAGTATGGCTGGGCAAGGCTGTGGAAAACTGGAGTCCAGCCCCGCTGCAACCTTGCAGCTGAAGATGTCAGTGGCTGTGGGGGTGACTTGGAGTCCTGGGTGGGTTGAGGGTAGGCATGGTAGCTAAGTCTGGTTGTGCCCTCGGGGCCCATCAGCTAGCTAGCTCTGCACAGATCCTAAAAATGGCAGAGAACGTCTCTGCACACCCACTATACTCCTTAAGACTTTCTTACATGGTCTACGTCTAAGTAAAGTTCACATGAGTGGCATGGCAAGACACAGACAAGTGACAACAAAAAATAAAAAAATAAAAAATGGAGAGGTCTGACTTATAGACAGGATAGAAGAAGTCTAGAGTTCTACAAAAACATAGCAGCAAGAAGTTCTGACAAAGCAGCCCTGGTTAGTCAGGCTCTTTATTTACAAGCACACACGGTGATAAATACTACAGTCAATCACATATTGGGCCAATCCTGTGATTTTCAAATGCATCTTTATTGACTGGTTGATTTAGCTTAAGTAGTATGAATTTTTAAAAGAACCTGAAGCTAATCAACACAAAAAAAGAACTACCGTCATTGTTTCGTACAGTATTAATCTAGCACAAAAACAAAAGTAAATGCCACAATCCAATTAAAAGAAATGTAAAGTAACTAATGTAAAGTGTAAATTCAAACGTCGCAAACAGCTGAGATAAGTCCCATTCTTTTTACTTATAAACCCAGCAGCAGGAGGGGAAAAGAGGTCGGAACACAAAAAAACACAACCCAGATACCAACTCTTTCTCTCTTACGTGTGCCTAAACACAAGTTGCTTTGAGACAACACACAATCACATGCTTAGCGGCACACTATGTGAGCAAGTGGGACAGTGGCAAAGGGCTGTATACAATCTGCCTCTATCTTCTCTTTTACCCTAAAGAGCCTTCCGAGTCTATTCTCTACTTCAGAACATTCAGAGCTTCCTAGAAGAGTAGACTGACGCGCATTTGCACCCCAAGGATGTTAAAGGAGTCTAACTGAAGGAGAGTGGTCCAGTAAAAGAGCAAGTTATGTAAACTTGCAGCAGATACAAGTCCTCCAAATGTATTTATTCCAGATGAACGTGATAGAACAGCAAACCTGAAATTCAGGATGAAAAATGCCTGTAGAAACCCACCTATTTCATCCTTTATTCCCCCACTTCATCCTTTATTCCCCCGTTTTCTGTTTCCCCTTTATGACTACCTTGCCTGGATTCTTTGCTTCCTTTTCTTCCATTCATTTGCTACTTACTGTACCACACAGGCAGTGAGTCTCCTGCACTACACTGCATCCCTGTCCTTCACACAGCTGTATTAATGACTCCTGCTTCACACCCCCAGCCTCATTTTCCATCTTCTCAGTGGACCAAATCAGAAAAGGCTGCAATCTGATTTCCTGTCTCCACAACCATAGAAGCACTCATCTTGATCTATCATTCCTGAGGAATGCAGAGAACTGGATTCTAACTTTTTCAGGTAAATACAGTAAATACCCTCAACTTATTTTGGACTCTGCCTGTCTCCTTCATCTTTCTCGTCTTTTCCTCCCACTTGATCCACCCCCTAAATATAGGAATGCTTGCAATAATTCAGGTCCAGTTATTCCATTTTTAGATAAAACCTCTAAACATTCCTGAAAGTCAGCTCACTTGCCAAACCACAGCCCCTCATCTGAGTTATGGCAATTATGGGAAAATCTGCTGTTTGTGCCACCAAGAAGTAACTGCTTTGGCATGACAGCATAAGGTTTGCACAGGACAGCATCTATCTGATAACTTCCATAGAATCATAAAATGTCCTGGGTTAGAAGAGACCTCAGGATCATCAAGCTCTAATTCCCCTGCCATAGGCAAGCTTGCCAACTGCTAGATCAAGCACTAGGACAGGTTGTCCAGGGCCTCACCCAGCCTGGCCTTGAACACCTCCAAGGGTGGGGCATACACAACACTGGCTTAAAATAAAGTAAAAAATGTCAACAAAAAAATAAAAATAAAAAAACCTACAGAGAATCTTTTCCCCTTCCCCTTCATGTCTAAAAGCACCTCTCGTGTCAAAGAGTGACACTGCTGTCCAATCACAAAAAGCAAAAGACACACGGGAGGGACTGATCTCTTCTGTTTGTGCAGATGGTGCAAGATCTGTACAGGGACGAGACATGGAAGGGAGGGCTAAACCCAAAAGATTTCTGCCAACCTCAAATCTGCAGAAGATTGGTGCAAGGACAACACTGGCGGATAATTTTCTGTGTTCACTAGTTACAAGACCACCCCTAGTTAACTGTATTAATGCACTGCTAGGGAGACTAAACTTAAATAGCAAGAAAAGCACTCTCACTTGTAGGTTAGCTAGAAACTGGAACAGACTATCTAAGCAGTCTCCAGAGTCTGCCTACATGACTGTCTCTAGGAATAAATTGGATGAATAGCTATGGGCATGTTCGGTATACTCAATCCTGCCTCAATGCTGAAGTGGGCTAGTTGTTCTCCTGAGGTCCTTGTTTATGAGTTCAGCAGTTAGCTTCACTGAAAAGAACAAAAGAGTTGTCTCAAATTGTTCTGTCCAGAACCTGCAATTAGAAGAACAATGGAAAAAAATATTCCTCCCTTCTTTCCCTCATCCTCTCCATCTCTGTATCTCACAGCTGAGTAGCTCCCAGCCCTCAGAGTTGGAGGCTGGGAGTAAAATGCATTCTAAAATGGTGGAAGCAACAGGAAATAGAGTAGACTTGGTACACTTCACATATAGCAGCTAGAGTGAGGACTATCAGCACAGGACAGCCTTGTATGGTCAGGGTGAAATATTTCACAGCTTACTGAATGCTCATAGGTATGCAGCCCGTGCCATGGGTAAGGTGCGACAAGATCAGTGTACAGGTTCCAGGCATGCCTTCTGCATCCAATGGAAAGGTTACACATGAACAACCATTTCCCTCCTGTTCATTCACTCTCCAGGAGCTCCACTACACTGGCTTGTCTAGCAGCCTCCAGTACCAGCTAGCAACTTCCAGCTGCATAAGGGAAGAGTACAAACAGTGGATTCTCCCATTCCTCAACACAGAACCTCTTGTAAGCCTATCAGTTCACCATTTCATTTACAATACCCCCACCCTCCCTCCCCTCAACTTAAAAATAATGGTTATAATTAACACATGGAAGATGATGGCACTGTGCATGTGGTTAACTTCCAGTCCTCTTCCCCTCTTCTCAAGCATTCTTCTTCCTCCTCTTCAACACCCTCCCCCTATTCCCCAATCAGTTCCATCAGTCCATCTCGCCTGCATGCCTGGGGGACTGCTGCTCACTTGCCATAGACACTCTCATCACTGTAGGCCACGTAGAGAAAATAGTCCTCCTCGTGATTATCCTGCAAGGGCAGAAAAGAAAAAAGTATCAAACCACAGCCCCGTAGTTCTTCACTACATATGAGAAAATCGAACAAGGAAACCATTGTAGCAAAAAAGAGGCATAACCTTTCTGTTTGCACTGATAGCTCCACATTTTCCTAAGAGAATATATACAGAAACTCCCTCTACTCACAGCTCAACCTCTAAATTTAGACACGTCATATTTTTGGATACACTGGATTTACTAGAAAAGATAGTGTGCTGCAAATATGCAACAGAAACAGCTCTGACTGTTGCAGGCTATGCAGCAGAATGTCAGCACTGACATAACCTTAAGATCAGGAGGAGTGACTTAGGAGTGCTCTAACATTAAAAACAATCTCTGCATACTTTGGTATTTGATAAATGTTGTTACATTTGTCATATTTCAGAACACCTTACTAAATGGCTGTGATACTAGGCCACTTTTATTTAGGGGCAGTAAAGCTGAGATGTTGAATGATTAAATGGATACAAAAAGTCTGCAGAATGCCAGAGAGTCTTGATCTCAGCTTTAGATAGTCAGATGTACTTATTTCTACATAGCCAGATTTGAGTAGTTAATCTTACATCTTCATTAGTCTACATATACAAATTATCCAGTCATTGTCAAAAAGTGCTAGGTCAAATAAGGCTTGCAGCACCAAACTGGAGCTCTTCTATTAAAAACCACTAGCGCAGCCCAAGGAGAAATCAAGGAGAAATCAATCCAGGCTGCAAAGCAACCATGATATAATTAACGCCTATGTAACAGAGGAATGATGGGCACAGAATATGCCTTCAAAGTTAAGTAACACTGCTTAGTAGAAATATTAGCAAGCAATGTTCACAATGTCCTTATACAGTACAAGCTAGGAAAAAGTACTCCTGAACAAAGGTTCAATTCTTTCAAAATGTATTTATAGACATTTAGTTGCAGAGTGATACTGTGTTCTTTTACTGCTAAGAGAAAATTTATTTTGTATTGAACAAGAAGAGAAAGATAGGTCAGACCTACCTCATACAGCTGACCCATGGTAGCACTCGTGGGAGGGATGGTATTATTGACAAAGAAGAATAGCGCATCCTCTGGCCTCAGGTGGATCCGCTTTCGGATTAAGAAGTAGAACTGCCCAACTGAAGACAAACAGAGGAGAATGCCTCAGACACAAAGAGAATTTCCAACTAAGCATGGCTGTTTTCTTTCGAGAATGAAGTGATGGAAGTCACATACTGTATGTAAAAACTAGGGAAAATGGACAGTGTGGAAAAGCAAGTAGGAACTGTAACAATATTAGCAGCCAATCCACACTGAGCTGACAGTTTCACAAGTTAATCAGTACTGCTTCAGACCACCACATTCTCTAAATCCATACCCCAGCTACTATGGTATGAATTGTTCTTCTGCAGAGATTAGTGGAAGACTTCTAACTTGCTTAAACGTTAAACTCTGTGCATCAAAAACATGTTAAGAGGATTTTCACACTGTAAATGGGTTGCAGTTCCTGAAAACAAATTCCTTATTTATTTGAGCTATTCTGCATAAGAAAGTATTCTGCAATAAGTTACGTACTGCAGTGAGAGGGGAAAAAAAAAAAAAAAAAGCCGTTCCTGTAACTTATTTATGTTCTCAAATGAAAACAAATGTAATCACACAAAAATGTTCATGAACACTCAGAAAAAAAAAATCATGGTCATGATTCCAACCACAGTAGTGGACAACAATGAGAATATTTCAAGAACTTGTCCTTTCCTGCAACAAGTATACCTGAGCTACGTCATCAGTGACTGATGATTTCACCACTGCCTGTGATACACAATTCAGTCATTTTCACCACGGCTGGAAGTCACATTGACACACACGTATTATTTTAGTCACTGTGACACCTACAGTCTCAAAGAATTCTGCACGTTGTAATCTAGACTGTAAGATACACAGATACAATAAGTACAGCTGGGCAAACTGGGGTAGTGATAAAATGTTGAGTCCTGCCTGCATTTTTCATTTTTGGTGATGATCACATGAACTAAAGTCACTTAATTAGTCCATCTTAATGAAAATCAAGAACAGAGGCAGACTTTGTTACCTGTGAGGTCAGAAGGCACAAGATACTTCCTTTTGTCTAGATCAGGTACTCTGGCTTTTGGTGCTTTTTCCACAATTACCTGATGAGGTAGAAAGAGACAAGCTATGGGCATCATTAAAGAAAATGAACCAAAGAAATAGAAGTTGAAGAAGGCAATACCCTTTGAGAAAGCTGGTGCTACCGGGCCTTTAGAAATTCCTTTCATGCCTAACAAATACACAACATTAAAGAATAGATAGGTAAGAAGAAGACAGCAAATCACTGGCAATCTCTGGGAGCTGTGATCTGTGAATCTGTGCTGGGAGCTCAGGACCACAGCAGTAAGCACAACGAATAAAAAGTGGAAAGTGGAATAAGCATAAAAATAAACCATAATTACCAAGGGAAAAATAATAATAATAATAATAAAAAAAATCAGGTCACCTTGATAGTCTTAAGGCAGGTTAATTTTGTATGAGGGAGCTACCAGGAGGCTACTACACAAATACAAGTAAATTGAGCTGTTTCCAAGTTACATTTCAACCTGCCTGACACAAAATCAGCTCCATTCCCAGTAGTCCCATATCCTAATTTCCACATTCACCCACAGTGATTTAGAATGAAGCAAAGAATTAAAAGAGAAGCTACAGCTTACTGAGGAAGGTTTTTTGTTTTTTTTTCAAATTGCCAGTTCTTCAATAGTTATCTTCTGCTCTGAAATTCATATCTCTTCAGGTTATTTCATAGAATCACAGAATGGCTTGGGTTGGAAGGGATCTTTAAGATCATCTAGTTCCAACTCCCCTGCTATAGGCAGGGACATCATACTAGACCAGGTTGCTCAAAGCTCCATCCAGCCTGGCCCTAAACGCCTCCAGGGAGGGGCGCCCACAACCTCTCTGGGCAGACTGACCTGTTCCAGTGTTTTACCACTCTCACAGTAAAGAATTTCCTCCTAATACCTAGTTTAAATCTATCCTCTTCAGTTTAAAACCAGCTCCCCTCATCGTGTCGCCACATGCCCTTCTAAAATGTCCCTCTTCGGCTTTCCTGTAGGGCCCTTTCAGGTACTGGTAGAACACTATACAGGTCCCCCCAGAGCCTTTTCTTCTCCAGGCTGAAGAGCCCCAGAGAGCTGCTCTCATCCTGTCCTCACAGGGGAAGTGTTCAAGCCCTCTGATTGTTTGTAGCCCTCCTCTGGACCTGATCCAACAACTCGATGTTATTTCCCCTATTTAATATAGTTACACACATTTCTTTATTTGTATAAGTACATAATGAATAAACAACACATTACCACCTGGACCTACAGAGACCTTTGGCACCAAATACTAATCCTCATTATACACTGACATAAGAAAGAATAAGCTCAGCAGCTTTGAGGTCAGAGAGGCGAAGAGATCTCCTGCTACATAGAACTTCTTGTTACCAGAGCTAGGCAAAATGCTTCTCTCTGAAATAGGAACTATTCCAAGTGACATGAATATAAAAAGGTTTGGAAATCTTTCCAAAGCTTGGTGATATGTTTCCATGGAAATACTGCGTGCATGTGGAAAGAAAATGCAGACACTGGTGGCAGTTGTTATTTTTTCCTGGTATGTATTTTTTATCAAGTAGAGAGATATGTCACATGCTTCAATCTACATTCTGCAGAAACCATTTTCGACCTTCTAAAAAAAGAAGCTCAATTTTCTGAACTTTCTAAACTTTGTAATTCTGCTAGAACCTGTGATTGTATACAGCCTATGTGAGACACTGCGAGACTAATTTCTAAGGACTCATGCTCCCAGCCCTTTGGCAACCAAAATCAGCAGCTGTGTCAGTTGTACAATAGAAAAGGCTGAACTGTCGTGCTTTGTGCTTCCTCCTTCTTTAGGAGGAAAATGGTGTTGACACATCAATGAAACAGTATGCCAAAGGAAAAAAAAATGTGATGAGCTTTGTGTATTAACTTGGAAAAAGTGCCACGCCAACCAAACTCTCCTCCTTCCAGATCCAAGTATCTGCAAAGCATATCACACAGTAGAGATGCTGGCTTGGACATCTTTGCGCTGCACTCCATTTAGATGCCTCCAACACAGCCAAAAGCCCTGAAAATTCTGTTTCTTTCTAAAACACATGTGTAGTTTGCTAGTGCAAGAACTTCAAGAACCTCAACTACTAGGCAACTGAGCTCTTTCAGATTAAGTCTGTGCTAGGACACGCATTTCCATACAAGATACAACTGGTAAGTATTGTGAAGGAAAGGCACAATCTCACTACACAGATGCAGGCTGACCAGCAACAGTACTTTGCCTGTTTTCTTATCGTGAAATGCTACAAGGTAGTATTTAACAAATTGCAGCAGAAAAAAGCCTTTAATTTTTGCTTTCCATTTAGAAGACTGGTAAGCAGAACTGCTAGGTAGCAGCAGTGACAGGACCAAACTGACTCAAAAGAATGGCATTTAGCTTAGTCGCTAGATAAAGGAAAAGAAGATAGAGGATACCTTGATTTATGCCATGGCTATGAGGACAAGGTGAGTTTTGGGGATTCTAAACACCTAGAAAGGATTCAAATCAAATCATAAAGCTTGAGACAGATCTCCCTCTTACAAAGAGTCAGGGAAAAATGGAGATGTTTTCCTAGACTATAACTGTAATCAGTTTCCTGGATAACCCAGGTAGGTATCTCTTCTAAAGGTTACTTTGCACACAGAGTCAAATCTACAAAAACAATCCAAAGGCCAGATACATATTACCTTCATATCTCTTACTGCTGGGAGGTGACTCTGGTAACAATGTTCTGGGGCAGAATGCTGAAATTGTCTAATTTCAGCAAAATGCTGAGATGTATCACGACACTGAAGCGTTGGCAGCCAAAGGGACACTGTTGTTAAGGATCATACTGCTGTGAAGGGCAGTGACAGAACTGATGTAAAAACCATTTGCTGCACTCATTTGTTCCACATGCAGCTCCAACAACAAGCCTCCCCCAACAATACACATCAGGCCTCTCCAGGCAGTGTTCTCTCTTTTCCTTAGCTGCAGCACACCTCACTCACTTTGATCCTGTTTTTGTCCATAACACTCTGCTAATGCCCCTCTGTCTCGATATTTCTACTTCCTGCCACACCAGATCTGTTGCCAGGCTCTCCACATGGCCCTTCCGGTTACTTCTATCATGACCTGCTGCATAATCTGCCATGTTGATCCTCAGTTTACAGTTTGCCTCTCTCCTGACCAGCTGAGCCCTCTGAGGTCCTCATCTCAAAAGACAGAACTGCATACACTATATGTTCAATCTGCTCTGATGTGCTAGGGGCCCCAAAAATGACTGGGCAAAACGTACCCAAATTCTGACTTTCAAGAACTTCTATCAACCCAGTTGTGGGCCTTTCTCAAGATGAAAAAATGGCCCCATCCTACAGGGAAAACCTAAGGTGTAACAGTTCTTTTGCACGCTGCATCTAGGACAGAACTCTCCCAGTGGCACTGGAGAGAAAAGCTGTAAACCATTTATTAAAAGGGGACAAAAAATAAAAAATAAAATAAAATAAATAAAATAAACACTAGTGTTACTATTTCTTTTGGCAATTATTGTTACAAATTATAAAGCCAGGAGTTTTCCACCAGGATTCCAGAGGGACCTAAGGATAAGGAAGGAAAGTTTAGCTAGAAGATGATCTTGTTTTCCAAATGATGTTTGTTGTTTGTTTTTTTGTTTTTTTGTTTTTTTTTTTCCCCACAGGATGATTAAACAAGAGAGAAGTAAGACTGAGAATTATTATTTAGCATCCTTTTTTTTTTTTTTTTTTTTCTTTCTTTCACGCAAAGGAAAAGAACGGAGTACGACTATATTGAAGAGCAAGCTCCAAAAAATGTAAAAAATAAAAGGAAAACATTTGATTTAGGTCTTTTTTCTTACAAAGCACGCCTGTTTTACTCATTCATTGTTCTCCTCCATTTTCCCAGAGCAAGCTCCTTCCCCATCCACCAGTCCCACGCACACAGGCCGCCATAATAAGATTAACAGCGTTCTTGCAGTCGAATTACTGCGGATGCCTGAAAAAAGACCCCCACACCCACCCACAGACCTTGGCGTAAAACAACGAATACGCTCGCACTAAAGAGAAAGCAGTCTGGAATTAATATCGAAACGTCAAAGTAATCATCTTTCCTAATCCCGTTTTTCTCAGAGAAAAGAAGCAAAGCAGCAGGCGGCAGCGACAAGGACAGCAAAGAATGGCGATGTCTGCACAGCTAGCCCGAGGGCAGCGCTCGTCCGGCACACTCACGGGGACTCTGTCGGGGTACTTCTTCCTGATTTTCTCCCCTTCTTTTTTCCTGTACTCGAACGGGTGGTCTTCCTTGTACTGGAACTTCATGATGCGACACTTCCCAGCCGGCCACCGCTCTCCCACCGTCACCTACGACTCAGCAAAGCCAACGACACCCGCGCAGCTCACGCAAGCCGAGCCCAGCGGAGCGCAGCTCCGTGCCGTGCTGCTGCGTGATGTCACCGCGTCGCGCCCTCCCCTTCCGCCGCCGCCGCCATTGCAGCGCGGTGCGGGCGCTTGCAGCCGGGGAGCGCGCCGCCCTCGTGCGTGTGTCTGTGGTGGGCGTTTGCCTTTACGTTGAGGTTGCTGTGCTTTTCGGGTTTTTTTCGTGGTAACAATTTAAAAAGAAGAACGACAAAAAAATCCGCAGAAACACAGCCGCCAAAATAAACGCGAAGTGCGTGACTCAGGGGTTATCCACGCAGCCGCGCGCTCGTCCTCACGCACCGACCTCCGAGGTGTCCCCGTGCGAGCGCCTTCATGAGGCTGTTCTGTACGTGGTTGTGAGCTGTACAGCGGAGGAAAAAGGGAAAATAGAAGGCTAGTTGTTGTGTCTGTCCCTGCTGTTAGCAGATCTGGGTTGTTCTGTTTATTCTCTTTTCCGGTTAAACAACAAGGGAGAGGAGGCGAGTTGAGGAAGTGGGGGCGCAGTGTGTTTTGTAACTTGTTTTAAGGAATAGTTGATTTGAAAAAGTAGAAATACCATGTATTTTAGGAATAAAGTTGTTGTATTATGTGGTTAATTCTTACAAAACTGTGAAAGCTTTTAGATGTTGTGAATAGTGTGGATGTAGTATTATGGACTAGAAAACATGTTGTAAGACTGTTCTGTTTTGACAAAAGGCTCTCAGCAAAAGAAACACAACAATGAAAGCTGTGACCTCCACACAAGGTCGAATTGTCTCACTCTGGGATTAGGTTGGGATGCAACAGGCAGGCATCAAGATTCTCCCCTCTATCCTCCTTATCTTCTACAACCCAGTATATATTATTAAAAAACAGGTTAACACCCCAGTGTATATCACTAAAAGTCAGGTTGCCACAAACTTATCTCTATCCAAGGACAAACAAATGTCCAGAAATAATGGCCGGGTGCTGACTGAGCAAACATTACGATTTTGGTGCCTAAAAATTACTTACAATAGGCATTCTCCTACTGAGCATGCATCAGTGAGGAAAGTTCATCTAGAGGACAAGAGAAGAAGACCACTGGCTAAAGTAAGAGGCTGTCTGTTTGAGTGTCAGGATGCTAAAAGGGCACTAGACAGTAGAAGAGACCATGGAATAGTAGACTGGAAACCTCATAAATCACTATGTGAAATAGGCGTGTTAATGTCTCACACGTAATTGATGAGTATATACTATCTGTAGAAATATAATGGACTTCGAATCATATAGTCTTGGAAGTGCTTATAGTAGAAATGTCCCCAGTACTTCCCAGTGCTGCTAAGAAAGAACACCTGGCTTAACAGTAACAAAACTTTGCTGTTAAGTTCCTACGCATTGATTTCTTCAAATCACAAGTGTGTCACATAACATCCCAGGCCAGAGGCACATTACAAGCAGCATGTGGTGAAGGGAGTTGACTGCAAAGAAGTCTAAATAGCCAGCCAATTTTAGATGATACACACAGTAGTATCATCCTTTAGTTCTGTTTTTTTTTGTTTTTTTGTTTTTTGTTTTTTTTCTGAGTGTGGCTAAGCTCACAGTACTGACCAGCAAAAGAGAAGGTGCTGAAGTATGGGTCCACGTGGTCAACTCAGTACTAAAAAGAAAAGCTGCTGTTGCCCTGGAGACATTGAACAGGAGTGCATCAAATAATTATTCCATTGCATGCTTCATCCATAGAAGTGGAACTTTTCCAAGAATGATGTTTTATTTGTGCAACAGTTTTGGCAGTAGCAGTGAGTGTTGTGTGGAATAGTAGACTGCCTTAGTATAAGGCAACACTCAAAGGCAAAGGCCACACCAGGGGCAGAAGTAAGAGAATGCAGGTTCACTGTACTCGATTCAACCCTGTGCTAGCCTGTTGGCACAGTGAATAGGAGTAGGAAAATACATAGTTGCTATTTTGCAGGCACCATGATTCTACAGTATGGTTTCAATGGAAAAAAAAAATCCAGACTAGAGCGAAGAGTCAGTTCAAAACCATAAGAAATGGAAGATCAAAGATGGAAGTTCCATTACAATGCTCTGTAAGGGCATCATAACGAAATAATAAGTAATAAAAATAGGATCAGGGGAAAAGGATCAGGAAAAAGCCCTCATCTATTTCTAGAAGTATTCATATACATCTTTAAGGCCGCCCCAAGAAACTCATACTTCAGGTGTTAATGGTTTCTTTATCCCTATACACTGATACACATACCTGAGTTGCCTGAAGGGAAGGAGTTATCCCAACAGTGGGAAGGACCTATTGCATATCCCCACAGCAGATTCAGGGTGCTAGTTTGTGCTCTTTGCCCTGGAGAGAGTTGTTTATCATATACTATCCACCACCTACCTTTGCACTCTACGCCCATTGCTTCTTGAATTCAGAGGTATATTGGTAATGCCTGGTGACTGTGATCTCTCATCTTGCGTGAAGGAGAGATACGGAGAAAGTACATTTACTTAGAAGCAGATATGCACTGACAGTGGCAGTTCAGAGATGATCTTACCAGTGAATGCAGACAGGCATGAGATAGAAATCTCACTTACACTTATAAATTAGGCATTTGTACCATAGTCTGTCACCTTAAAATGCCTTCATAGTGTAAGGTAATAAACAGACACGTTAGATGTGATTTTTCTCACCTGAATGCTGATGTCTATTTTTGGAGGGTTATAATGCGTCTGTCCTGTTCTGTCCCTCCTCCTTCCCTCCCACCCCCCGACAGCTCCACCTCCTCCCAGAGAACTCTGGCAGATGCTTTTGTGCTTAAGTAGTTACATGTCCACGTGGTGCTGTGACCTCCAAGTATGTGCCAGATTCTCCTAAGGGTAGAGCAAGCCACAGTGGAATGGTATGGATCAGTCTTCAGTAGTTCGCATACACGAGGTTAGTACAGGAAGCATCACTGACTTGTTTCTCTCATTCTGTCATTAGACATTGGAGCATTTCCCCATAGTTGCTGGTAGAGTCAGGATCTCAGAAGGATGACTCAGAACCGAGGCACTGATTTTGTTTATGCCAGGAGAAAAAGCTGTCTTCATGCCATAGTGCTTTTCTGTAACATGTTTGGCCTCCTTTTTGCTTCCTAGTTGCCTGCCCCATAGCAGTTGCTAAATCTCCATGTCCATAGAGACATAGATATGTCTTCCTCAAGAACAAAAGAGAGGAGGTAACTGCATATTAGCTAACATCTAGCTTGAAATTCTGTAACAAACCAGAGAGAGTCTTGCATTTTCCCCTCCTCTGGTGCCAAGACACGACCCGGTGAGAATATCACCAGGTAACCTCTCCTCCCCACAGCAAATCCCACGTGACGATCACAAATCCCGTCGCTGAACTCCTGCCCGATGACGCAGCCCAGACGCGCCCCGACAAGGTCGCTCCTCCTGCTTCCCGTTCCTCCCGTCTCCACCTCCTGTGGCTCAGTAAAAACAACCTCAGTGCTGGCGCAGCGGCTGGCAGGAAGGTGATGCATGCAGGAGCAGTGACAAACAAGCATCTGACTTACAGTTCTTATTAACATGTCAACCCATGGGCATGTGACAAACCCCGCATTAAGGGGCCGCGTGCTAGAGAGAGGATCTGAAAAATGGATTGGTTATTCTTTCACTGGACTCCAGGCACAACACAGTTCACAGGGTGGCTAAACAATGAACTTTCTTAACCTGGAGTGCTAGAAGTATAGTGTTTATGTAGTAGAGTGGTGTGTTTGTATATTGTGTGCTTGGCGCTTCACATAAGGGATTCCTCAAGCCTTGCCAATGCTGTAGCCATAGAAGCAGGAAATGAAAATATTTACACAGAATCCAGGGGAAAGGGAGGGAGCTGTAGTCCATCCTGTACCACACACACTCCAGGAGCAGTGCTTGGAGCTTTGCAGTGTTCTACTACTAGCTTGGAAATATCTACATGACTGGATAAAATTCCCTGACTTCAGAATAAAAACATCCCTGTTATTTTCTTATTTGCCTTATTTTTCTTGGAGATGCCATCTAGGTGGATATCTCCCAGGACAGTCCCTGAAACTGCTCTGTAGTTGTATCAGCTGTAAATCACTCTTCTACTGATATCTCCCCTTAGGTGATTATTCTATCTGTATCACCACAGACTGGCCTTTTAAAAAATTCTCTGTGCAGGCACATCCAACCCATGACCCACAGATTACATGCATCCCGTCCCAGCCTATCCTGCAGCAGACCTCTGCCCTGTCCTACCAGACAAAAATATCTTCACTTCCACATCTTACTCATGTCTTTAGTTTTTGGCAGCGCATAGATTTGTGAGCAACTATCTTCAAGGGTGAATTACTGGAAGAGCAAAATTAGATGAAAAACCTTTGATGAACAGCTTGAGAACTCACGAAGAAATGCAACCATCAAACCAGACTGTTAAATTAGTTTCACAAAGACAAGTTCAAATATCTCTCTACTTTTATTTTTTGTTGCTCTCTTTTTTAATGTTTTAATGGAAATATTGGGAATTAAAATAAGTTTCGTTACTTGTATACATTAAAAATATTAGGACTGCTCAAAAAGTAATACCTCCTATTTTATTATTTTGGTCCAGAACATCAGAGTTGGATGTTGATGGTATGGCAGTTGAGGTTGAATCTTCCTGCCAGTATTTCATTACATTTTGTCACCATGTGACAGATGGCAGCAGAGGGACAGTCTGACAAAATGACGTCAGACATGGAAGTGCATATGAAGCAAAGGTATGTCATTGAAGTGCTCCATGCAGAAAAAATTGCACCCATTGACATTCATCTGTGCTTACTGAACATGGAGACCAAACTGTGGATGTGAGCGCAATGAGGTGGTGGGTTTCAGCAGAGGAGATGGAGGCAGTGGGTCACCTTTGCTGGCACAGATTGTTACGAGAGTGGTATGCAGGCTCTTGTTGATTGCTGGTGAAAATTGATAGCTAGTGGTGGTGACTGTGTTGAAATATAGTGTTTTGTAGCTGAGAATTTGCTCAATCAAATAGTGTCATTGTGCTCTTTTATTG